TTGCTATTTTCCCTTTTCATATGAATTCAGAAGAAAAATAAGGCATAAAGGGCTCTGCTCCTCTCTTCAACTGTGGATAGAGCTAAATTCCCTCCAACTACATATGTGGGCAGTCGGGTTCAGCCTACCACAAAGAGATGAAACAATAATTCCGTCGCTGATGGACGAGAACTCGTGTTCCTTCGGAGACATAGGCTAATAAAGTCTGCGGCCTGAGAGTCCATCATGTCGAACGGCACCTGAGGGCTGAGGACACCACGACGGACCTTGTCAACAAAAGTATTGACATCATTCAGTTCCTCCTCGGGCCACGGGAAGCGGCCTGAGAAGCAAAAGCAAAGCGTGATACCCAGTGCCCATATGTCGTTTTTCGGGTCAACAACTCCTGAACAGGCCTCTGGCGACATGCACGCGGGTGTTCCAAAGCAGTTTTTGAGTATCACAGTGCCCGTCGCAGAACCCGAGTCATCCGATGTGTGCACCACACTTCGAGGAGCAAAAATGCCTGCGGTAGTCGCATTTGAGGAGTTAGAACAAAACTCGTTTCGCTGCATGGCAAACACCACAGCCCCACCAAAGTTACTGAGCTTACACACGCCATCAATGTTGACTAGCACATTGTTTGGGGAAATGTCCCGATGAACAACCTGACGCTTGTGCAAATACTGAAGTCCACGAAGAATATCACCCGTATACCGTCTAATGGTGTTATATGGAAGACGTCGAAATGTCCTCACAATCGCAGAAAGAGAGCCCCCAGAGACAAACTCAGCAATGATATATAAATACTCGTCCTGGAAAAAGCTACTTATATAACGAACAACATTTTTGTGACGCAAGCTAGACAGCATTTCAATCTCAAAGCGTACACTTTGGGCCCACGAGTTATTTTCACCCCTGTCACGGAATGGGTATTTCTTTACGGCAACAATGTTGCCATTCGGGTGAAGGCCGCGGTAAACCGTGCTAAAGGTTCCACGACCCAGAGGCTCATAAACGTCAAACACGTATTTACTTCCCTCATTTCCGCCATCGTTCTTGCTGCTCTCTTGGAGATTATGAACGTCTGTCCAATGATGGGGAACAGCTTTGTTGCCAGAATCCACCTCAGAAAAGGTGACAGACGCTGCTGTTGAGCGAGAAATATAGCGAACGCGGACCTGCTGTGGTTCACCAGGATCACATATTGACTGAAGTGGTATTGTCGAGGTTCGTTTAACCTCAGCGTCATGAGTGGCAATGACCGGTGACATGGGGACGGCGAAGCTGGGATTGAGTTCTGAAGGGGTATTACTCGAGTAAAAGAAATCGTCGGCTTCAGTGATGCTGTCACAACGCACACTGGGTGTACGGATGTGCGTCTCACTGAATTTTTCACTCCTTAAGCCATTTACTTCGTGCCCATCCTCAAAAAAACGAGCCGCGTGATAATCTCGCGTAACATTTTCTTCGTTGCCCTCATTGTTCCCAGAAACTTCACGGCGGCGATGTATACACTGCTGTTTCTCCCGCACACAATATTTATCCAGAAACCTCACCGCCTTTGATTCCAGAGGCTCCCAACGCGGTTCCTTACGCACGTAGTTCTCTGTGGAGGAAAGAATTGTATTAATCGTTCCCTTTTCCTGCATCTGAAGGAAGTACTCACATAGACGAAGTAATCGGCTCACGTTGTGGTCCATTTCCACAATTCCAGCCAGTTTTTGTGCGGCGTCTGCAAACTGTCTTCCACACATTAAACCAAAGGCCACCGTTAACGGCTTGTAGTATTCCCGTTTGGTGTCAAGGTCTTCTCCCTCCTCTGGTATTTTGAGCTCATAGAGATAGATGCGATCCTTCCCACGAATCGTCTCCCTGCAGATGACATCCACCGGCACAGCCATCATGCAAACACGAAAGAGATCATAGCACGACTGAAGCATAATCAACGGGCAGTGGAGAATCATGCACAGCTCCGCCACACGGTATGCCAATTGAAGCTCTTCCCCATATAAATACGCAAAACGGTGAGATCCAATATCGCTTACACCAATCATAAGCAAACTCATATGCATCGCAATGCCCCAATTCAATGGTGTAGATGAAGCAGCCGCCCACTCGGATTCAAGCTTAGACAGTTCTGACACTAGCCGCAAGGCACAATTACGAGGTTGAAACAAATTAACACAATTGGTACCGGACGGGGTGTAAAAGACTACAATCACAGAGTCCAGGCAAATATTAAATGAAAAACCATTTTCTTCCTTCGCCACACGTAAAACAATCCGTAGAAATCGTTGTGACATCTCCCGCACTTGATTTACAGAGTCTCTTATTACAGAGGCATCAGAATTCAGCTCAAGTTTTGGTAAAAATAAACGACAAACCAGAAACGTTGTTTGCTGAAGCGAAAAACCGTAGTCATTCAGCATTGTAATCCGCGTTTCAGCAGCCTCAGAAACAGCGCATTCCCCACAATTCCCCACAGGCTGGAGAGCACGCTCATTCTCAGCCGTCAATGTCACGCTGCTACTCGTGGAAAGAATCAGGCTAGATAAACTCCTTGCGGGACACATAAACCGCCGGTGAGGGGGACTCAATTTGTTACTACTTCCCCTCTGCCCCGCTGTTTGCGTAAAACCAAAGTGGTTTCCACTCCCATGAGAGCGGCAAAGCCCACTGGTAAAAGTCGCCGCTTTTTTTTTCACAGAGAGAGGTGAATGTGCTTGGACCTTTATTTGAAGAGGATTTAAGTCTCCAGCAACTGCAAGAACATCTTCTTGTGGTGGGGAGGTCCCTGAGATGCGGCCGCCTTTTCTTTCCATGGTGGACACGGCAGTTGAGCTGTCGAGGCTGTGACCAGCCAAAACAGCCGATATGACATCACTCTGCACCGTGCTTGGAATGTATTTTTTGAGTTCATTCAGAGTATCCCCCAACAGCACGACTTTTTCGACTATCCCTTGAGAGAGCACTTCTTTTTTATTATTCTCCCCTCTGTTACAGTGCCAAAAGAAAAACGATGGAACGGGTTTTGGAGCCCCCGCCAACTGCTCCGGTCCGAGTGGCTCAATCTGTGTCAGCATTGGCGCTGCGCGACGGATAAATTCAAGCGTCTGTAAATAATTTAAAATTACACAACGCCAAGAAAATAACCACAGAATAAATGCACCCCCAATCACAATAATGATTAGAGCTAACAGAATCCCCATTACGCATATAAAACCCTCCTTTGAGATTGGGCCAATTTGACGGTGCTGCAGCTCCAAAAAATTTCGGTCACAAAAAGAATCATCGGACAAGCTAGCACCTACATAATGATGAAGCTCTTCTGCCACATTCGTGCTTGCCCAGTAGTGCAACCCAAAGAGCAATGCGATGAAGACAAAAGGAAGTAGAACCAAAGATATAAGCATGAAGTAAAGTCTTCGATACAGTCCTCGCCCGCGGACTGCTGGTTTAGGTCGGCTCAAAATGTAATGCCTTAAGGTAATGTTCGGTGCCGCCGTGTCCACTTCATCCCTCATGTAAGACGATCCCATATAATTCTCTCCGGTACTAAAACGAGAAAACGCCGGACTAAAGAAAGGCGTTTCTGAGCTCGATTTCACGTTGGGTAGCAACCGTTTAATTTCTAACTCATCACGGCCTGGATTTGATGGCGCAAACTCTGACTTAACTGCGATGGCTGCACCATCTACAGGACGTGCTTTTGGTAAGTGCGAAGACCCTGAAAAATTTGCCAAGGGAGATGAAGACATCATGACATCTCCATCAGCAATTTTTTGCTTGGACTTGTCCCGAGGTTCGTTGGAACGGGTGTCTGAATGAATGCCTCTATCTCCATCTGGGCTACGGATGGGTGAAAAAAACGCCTGCCTCAAGAAGAGTGCTCCATGCACGCTGGCCTGCCCATCCGTTGTTTTGCTCGAGCTAATCGGGCCACAAGGTCGCGTTGAGACGGCAGAAGACGATGTGGGTGAAAAGGAGAGAATCTGAATCTCTTCATTTCCGGTTGGCGGCCTAATCGAGCCGTTGTTTTTCTTCAACTGGAAACCAGACACGCCGTTTTGCTTTTTGGAGTCCGGCGGTACTTCCACAATCCCTAAGCCCATGGGGAATTGAGAATTTGATGACCCAAAGACAGACGAACTTTGCGTGGATGTCCGAGAAAAAACACGGGGTTTTTCCCCTTCACTACGGCTTCTGTCCATCTTGAGAAAAGTGAGAAATCACGCGCCACACTTCTCCTGGCAGGGGTGTCTTGTCAACTCCGAGAAAGGGCAAGAGGGTTGCTGTAGTGGTCAATCGACTTGGTCCCACTTATTCCCCCCTTTCCTTCTTCCTGAAAATTAGCCAGAATTGGCAGGAAGAGGGGAGAAGAAAAGATAAAAAAGAGTTTCCAGAAGGAAAACAACAAAAACAACAACAACAAGACAATATCAGGACAACACAAAGAAATACATGCGGACCCCCGTCAACAACAAGAAAGAAAAAAAAAAGAAAAAAAAGCAAAAACAACAACAACAACAACAACAACAAAAATAAAAACAAAAAACAATAGCAACAAAAACCACCAAGATAAAACAACATAATTGCACGAGCGCGCACACACCGCATGAAGCCGGTTGCAGTGGTGACACGGCAAGAGCAAATAGACTAACCAGAAGCTGACATGAGAGAAATGGAAAAATCCGTTTCTTTTTTTTACTGTTTTTTTTTCTTCTTCTCATACTCGTTTCGTTCTTTTTGTTTTGTTTCTTTCCCCTCCCCTGATTGTCTCATTCCCCTCTTCTAACCCTCGATTTTGTGTGAGAGGGAAAACAATGCGCAGAGAGTTGCCAACGCCAACCAATCAACCTTGCCGTGACTCCAGATGTCGAAGTCGTCCTAACGCTGTAATTCCCGCCATTCCAAATCCCAATACTTTTTTTTTTTTTCCCCCCATTTCCTTTTTTCCACTCGTCACTTATCTTTTCTTCGTGGATTCGTACTTGGCGGTCGCGTTTGCGATGGATAATTCATGACCCCCCAATCTCGTCGGTAGTTGTCTCTTCAATCTGCGTGACTCCTGCTGCTTCCAACATTTGTTTAAAGAGCCACTCCTCCTCTTCTGGATCCATACCATCATCGTCATTGGCAAAGACCCGCTCATCATCTTGAAAAGACTCATTATTATTTTGAGAAGGATTCCATAGATATTCCTCCAACTCCTGCAACTGTTCTTCTGTCATGCTACCAAATGTGCAGAGGGCTGTGGAAGCAACAGCTGCCGTAGTTGCCAGGCTCTCAACGGACGGCAGCTGTGTGTATGTCTCAGCGTTGCAATAGAGCTGCTTCAGCCCAGTTTCCAGCACCTCGCCTCGCTTCAACTCAACCGCATTCTCCTCCTCATTTTTCTGCTGAGTTTCTGTTGTGGTTGCCAGTGCTCGCAGAAATGAGGGAATAAAGGGCTCAGCGTCACTCGACAGCGTCGAGCGCTGGGCCAAACGAGACACCAACCTCGCCGTGGTCTCGTCGGTGCCTCCATCGGCGTTCATTAGAAGATAAGCGGCGACGGTGACTGATAGCGCACCACAAACCCCTTCCCGCGCACCTTTTTCTTTTTTATTTTTATTTTTTATGCCGCTCCCCTCTTTCGACTGCCAAAAAGCAAAAAACAAAAACAGAAACATTCAAAAAACGATCCTTGCGGCATCCCCCCCAGATATGTATATATATAGAAAAAACAGCAAAAAAAAAAAAAAAGAATTCATATATCATCTTCCGCGCTTTCAAGAATCATCTTGGATGAATTTAGCTCGGAAAACTTCACGGTATTCTGCCTAATGCTCCAAATCGCTCAATCTTCGGCATGTATCTATCAAGAAAAATAAAGCAAACACAGAAACCTTTGCCACCGATTCAAAAATTTCTGCGTAAGAGTGCTGCATGCTAATAAAACCCGAGTTTTGGAATAAACTTGCAAAGAACGCAGCTGCCATGCACAATACAAATATGCCAAGTCCCTTTAAAAGAGATATACACAGGGAGAAAGTGCATCTTTGAAAAGGGGAACTTAACCCACAAAAAACATATGTAAACTGGTTTCTCGTGAGTCTATGAAAAAGCTCCACACGGCTAAGCCACGCACCCAATCGCAAGCGATTCAAATTATTGAAATGGAGAAGCACCGAAACCAACTCAAAAGCTATCACCATAATCATATATATCGCGGCGTTGCCTTTATTAGACCATAAATAAATCGTTGCCCACTGAGAAACAATCACCATACAACGAAAAATAAGGGAAACGCTCGCTAATTCATGCCTATTTGTCCCATGAGAATCATTAAGTGTCATCCACTCTCCGTCAATCGTACCAACATTGGAATCTACGTATCCATAACCACACATACCCGCATTTGGTGGCGGCTTAGAGTTTCGAACAAGTAGGCCACTACCCGAGACGACATCTGCCTCCAATGTATTCGTCTCCGCCAAAGAAGTTTCAGGACCGTCTACAAGCCACTGTACTCCACTAGAAGTTATTAACTGACACGACTCCAAGTCACCGCGAGAGACACTTTTTGAGTCTCTTTGAAAAACAATAAAGGAAAGGTACTCCGTCTCGTACACTGTGCGCGATGGATAAAAAGCAGCCATAATGGCACTAATGGCATCTCCATGGGTTACCAGCAACAAGTTCTTGTCTGAGTAACGGTGACAATTACGAAAAAAACTATTGACATATCTTTTTGATGCCAGTTCAATGGTTTCACCCCACAGCGGCAACTCACCCAAGCCATTCTTCACGATCACATCCGGCAACAATGGGGCCGTGCTGCTCTTTATCCTCACTGGTCCGTATACCTCACAAAGGGTGTTGTCAATGATTTGATGATGCAACTCACCAATGGCACACCTCTGCAGCTCTTGGGCGGTTTGAAGAGTCCGCAGAAATGGCGAGACAATAAGAAGTAATTTTCTTGCCCGTTTTGCCCCCAAAAAGGCCTGAAGTTTTTTAGCAACTTCCGCAATCTGCACAATGCCATTCTCCGTCAGTGGCGGATCAACTTCCGGCGGACTTCCAATGGCCCCATCGCGGCGCTCTCCATGACGCATAACAACAATGATTTGCTCAGGCGGCTCCAAATGACTTGGGCGGTCGCTCCGTATCACATTGCCCGACGCCGCAATGTGCACCTTTTTTTCACTCATTCTAATCCACCTTTCCCTCAAAAAAAAAAAAAAAAAAATTATTATTATTTTCAGTTTGTGTGTCTCTTTTCAAGGGTTCGGGTGATTTTGTTCGACAACAACAACAACTGCCTTTTTTCTCCTTCTTTTCGTTTTTTTTTGTAACTTTCCTCCTTCGTCAATGTGTCTCCTCCTTCCTTTTTTTTCTTTTCTTTTTCTTTTCTCCCGTTTCCGTTACTCCCCCCACCTTTTATTTTTCCCTACAGAAGTTTGGAACGGAAAACCCTTCCAGGGGACTTCTCACATGTGAAAAGAAGCAAAAAAAGAAACAAATGATTCACGACATCAATGCCGCTTCCTTCGTGCTGAATTAACCCCACAACAGAAGGCCAAACAAACACCGAGAAATAAAAAAAACACGAAAAAAAAAAAAAAACAACAACAAGAAAACAAAATAACAACAAAACAAAATAACACACCACGATGTGACTTGCCCCGTCAACTCTCCGATGTGTCCGTTTCGGTTGTTAGATGTGTTGGACGCCACATATCACAAGCGACATATCAAGCGATGAAACCAAACTCACTTTTCTTTCCGTCTAATTCCATTCTTCCTCTCTCTTCCTTTCTCTCTCTGTATTCTTTTTTTTTCTCACAACATTTTTTTTTTTTTTTTTTTCGCTACTTGCTCACAAAAACAAAAAAATATCTGCAATTTCTCTATAAGTTAAGTTATTAAATATCCCTTGGGCCCGCTCTGCCTGCAGGACCCTTTTCCTTCAACAACGGGAGAAAGAAATTTGTGGGGAGCGAAGGGTTGTTTGTGGCGTTGGTAAACTGTGGGTGACATGCTTCTTTTTATGCACAGTTTATTTTGTGGTTTATTGCAATCACTTTGATCTTGTGCTTCTTTTCCCTCTTTTGCATTTTTTCTTTTATTTATTTGTTTAGTTATTCAATTTTTTTTTTTTTTTTTTTTTTGCGTCTCAAGAATCGCCCCACATTTCCACTTTTGTTCTCCCCGCCGGCTCACACTTCCGTGGGGACTACGAGGATGGTGGAGGTGGAGGAGGTGGGGGCTGAGCCATCTGCATGCTTTGTCCACTGACCATGGAGTACGGCGGCGGCGACGAATACGGCGGTGGCGCCGCCCCGCTCCTTAAACTTCGGGGAACTACACCCATTGGACGCACCATGCCAACAGGCCCCAAAGCGACGGCAGGGTAGCAAGGAGGAGGCTGCCCGTAGTTTTCGTCCAAATATGCCATTGGGATTGACGAATGGTAGTACTCAGGAGAGGTAGTGCTTGCCTGATATGTAGAAGACGGAACAAATTCTCTGGCGTTCGCATTCATCGTAGACGCAACAATTATTGGACTACATTGTGGTTTTTTTGGCGGTGTTGCTGTTTTCTTTTGGTCTCCGCCTTCCCTAGCTGCAGCTGCACCAGTAACAGGAGCCGAGGCGGCTTCCTGTGTCGGTGTGCGGCTTGTCGGTACAGGTGCATTCCAATTTTTGTCATCGCCAGCTTTCTTGCTACTTCGATCTCTTCCCGATGGTGTAGAAGCCTCAGGATTGTTACTGGCAGCGGCGTCACGTTTTTCTCGAGCGTGAGCAGGAGAACCCAAAGAAACCGGACGCGTCTCTGTTGCTGGCTGTTGTCCAGGCGGCTCCGAGAGCGAAGGCGGTCGACTTTCCAAAACTCGCCCCCGCCGACTTTCATTGAGGTACGGCGGCGACACCTGCACCCGCAGTGTTTTTCCTTTCGTGCTCTTGCCATCCACGAACAGCGCAATTTTGGCCTCATCCGACGTCGCAAACGTCACAAAAACGCGTCTTCGTCGCGCGGGCGAGTTATCCTCCACCAGCGAAGAGGCCGTGACGGTGAGATCCTTAAAGAGCGCAAGGGCCTCCTCCAGTGAAGCAGACTCGTAGAGATTTGAAACCACAACACAATTTTTCCATTTGGGGAAGCGTTCCCAGAATTTTTCAATTTCTCCCCACTGATGATCTCGTAACCTTTTCAAAGCAGAATCCTCCACAGAAGGAACAGACGTCAGTGGAGAGACTGGGCGAAGCATAAACGGGAGTAACCCCCCCTCATCATCAGAGTCCTCATCTTCGTACTTTTCAAATAAATCACATGCATCTTGAACCGAGGGCATCACTACGACTCCACCTGCGAGCTTGTCGTCCACATCCTCGTAGCGTATGTCAAATGTGCTCCACCCACTAAACTCCTCAAATTCCCGCAACGCCTCCTCCAGACTACACCCTTTGTGAAAAGAAATCTTCACAAGATGGCTATGGGTGGCAGTCGAGAGGCCGTGGTCTAGCGTTAAGTAAAATCCGGTACCATGTACATCGGCAAGTGAAGCATCTGTGTTGTACCCACTGTAATCAATAAATGATGCTAAAAAATCGTGTACGGATGCCCCGTAACGCTTTGGATTTGTGACCGGTTTCACACCCAAACAACTCAGCAATTCCTCCGCGTGTAGAGCCCCTGGTAAGTAATCAATGTAGCGCAAAGGTGGTATTATGGCCGTCCCGGAGAGGAGTGAATGATCCTCATTTTGTGTGCAACAAAGGCCAAAGCGCTCCGCACACAGTTCGAGAAGCTTCTGAAAGTTAATTCCCAAAACAGGAAAGCGAATCGTGCACGATCGGCGCTTGCCAACCTCTGTCACACACAACAAAACATCATATTCCACGCCGAGAAGGAAACGAAGCGATGAGGGGACACTAAGAGCCTTGAGCTCCAGCGAACTTAAGCCTAGTGTTTTCCCCATGCTGCTCTGAATTGCGTAAAACAAACAAACAAAAACAACGTCTGTGTCAGCAGCAGCAGTAATAAAAATACTGGCGGTCCTCCCTCAACTACGCCTAATACGTAGGCAAAATTCAAAAAAATAAACAACAGCAACGGCCAACAAAGCAAGAAAAAAAAGGTTTTTTTTTTTTTTTTTTTTTTTTCTTCTGTATGTGATGCAATTAAATCGTATGGCCCAACCCGTTTGCGTACGAAACACACAAACAGTAGTACTGCAGCGCTCGGAGCAGTGTCTGTGATAGTGCTTGCCAAATAATACAATACGTCGTGGTCTCTTCGCTGGCCCTTTTCCACCCTCTCGCCCTTGGCCTGCCGATTCCTCGCCGGTTGCAAGCAAGAAAATAATAATAATATTTTCAGGGGCCACGGCCGACAGAAGAATGTGTGATATCACGAAGTGGTGGCTGTAAAGAAGAAAAACAAAACAAGAAAGCACAAACAATTACTAAAAAAAAAAAAAAAAAGGAGCTAAAAAAAGGGGGGAAAACGACGCTCCTGTGGATGAGAAATATATGAATCAGCAAATACCGTTCAATTTTTTATTTTCCCTTTCTGTCTCGTTTGCCTGTACGCAGAAGGTGTGGATAAAACCGGCGGCTATTATATTTCTTCTTCTGCGGTGCTCTCTAAAGGAGTCCTTGAAATGTCTCACCTACCCTCTTCC